ACATCTGACGTCTGTGATTGCCAACAAGGGATTTGCCACCAAGTACTAAGTCATGTTTTGTGAAGGGGATCAAATGCTTATTTCCCTCATGAACATGCAAATCAGTGCATAAATTGTTAAACATGCATTTCTTTGAATTTTTTTGTTGCTGTTCTGTCTCTCAGTGTTACAATACACCTACCATTCGATTTTTAGACTGATCATTTCTTTGTGAGTGGGCAAACATTCAAAATCAGCAGGGGATCAGATACTTATTTCCTTCACTGTATTAGGCTCTATTCACAAATCTAATACACTAGGATACGTATTCATATTTTTAAAAAATTGACTGAAATTTACAGTCGCTTGGCTAAAAAGTAAGGATCCTTATCCTTATGAGATACCTTTTGTGTTTCTTTAACGCTATGCTCCCTAACTGTAATCCCCCTTCCCCCAACTGATCACTTGACATAGGCGTCTATTTTGAAATGTTTTTTACATTCACTCAACTTTCTGCCAGGATTCACAGATTTTTCTGTTTGAATCCAATCAGAAAAATGTGTAAATTTTGGTAAAAGTTGTAAGAATCTGGTGTAAAAATACTGATAAATAGTCCCCTTAAACTAATCCACAAAGCCAGTTCTTAACTGTTAACCAACCCCTCAACACTTAAAAGGTAACCATACTGCATCTGAGCACCACAAACCTAAAAACCTTCTTTATTTCATTTATAATATTGAAAGCAAATTCACCCATCCATTCATGCTTTTCGTATTTTGCCAAGAAATCACTTTGAAAAAACCCTCTAGCACTTCTGGCCTCGGCTATCTTGACTAAAAACAGATAATTCGTGTAGCATTTACTTCCTAGATTAAATCCACCCTTAGCTCAGGCATGCAGACAGGGGGATGTGCCCAGAGAAAGCTCCTTCTCCCCTCCTGAAGACTCCTGGAATGTATGACATAATTTGCCTGGAAACCAGGAAATAATCCAAAAAATGTAAAATGAAAAAAAAAGTTCAAAACAAGGTAATATGATATGCTTTCCTATCTATTTCCTAATGATAGCAGCATAAGGATTAAAAATAGTCAACATTGATTGAGAGATTAAGGTTGCATTTGAAAACCTTAAAGTGTTACTAAACCCTGCATTCACTATATCTGGTCTCCCACAGCACACAGAACATGAAAATGCATTTATTTTAGTAGATATAAACTGATAAATACCTTTTCTCATCAGCAGTATATAGCAGTCTTGTGACTTCTATAAGTGTCCTGCCAAGCACTGGTTAAAGCTTGTAGGAGGAGTTTTCATTCTTCTCTGACTGTCCTATGAGGCTGCATGACCCCTGACTGTCTGGACAGGGCTGATTGGCCCTGTCGATCATATACACCCTCTCCATAAAAAAAAAAAAAAACCTCAAGCAATACACTCTAAACTGAGCATGTGCAGACTTGCCACTGCTGCTCTGTACTATGGCAGATGGCTTGGGGACAATAAAAGAAGGAGAGGATCTGTCAGACACAATGCAGAGGATTAACTCCTTAGGTACTGCAGTGAGTATAAAAGCATGCTTCACTGCACTTACAGACTGAATTTACTGTTGTGGGTTTAATAACACTTTAAGCTAGCTCTTAAAACTATAAAATATACTTAACCCCTTCACGCCTAAGGGTAAAACAAATCTAAATCCCTAAGCACAATTTTGAAATGTGTTAGTAAAACCGTACATATCATCACAATTACTTTGTACATCCAGGTGAATTATACCGTGTTTTTTTCAGGATAAATTGGGCTTTCATTTGGTGGTAAATGGTAATGGATATCCCCTGATATATTTTTTTTATTATCAAAGGAAAACTGGCCCAAAATAATGAAAAAAATAGTTTTTTTTTAATTTAGCTGTGTGTTTCTTGTTACTACCATAACCTACCACCAAAGAACAACCCAAAGTAAATTCTCCAGCTCTTGACGATCGCAGCGATACCATATATGTGTATGTTATTTGTTGTTTGTACCCGGAGTACAACCCAGAAACAATAGTACGCATTTTGTTTTTGTCGTTTTTTTTTTTCGTAGGGGGCAGTTGGACATCTGCAGAGAGATCATTCCCCACAAGGAGTAAAGTTGGCCATAGATGGACCAACATTCAGGTGGTTCAGCAGGGACCAGCGGTCTGTAGAAAACAAACTGTAAGATATTGTACCCATTTTATTTTGATTCACATGGAATCTATTTAGTTGGTCTAAACGGAGAGTTCAATTGTGCTTTGTATTTTTGATAGTAGGGGAGGATTAAAGGAATTGTTTTGTGTGTCCTTGTGGTGACTGGAGTTTTACAATGCAGTGAAATGCACGTCACCGCACATATTGTGAATTCAACCTAAATATCCCCGTCTTTTGTATATTTATCCTGTGTAGGGCCTTATACCAAATTCTCAGTGTTGGCTTACTGGAAGCTATTGACTCACTCTAGCATTGTCCAATAGCATTCAATGTTTGGTCTTCTCTTCTCTGGGTTCCATAATAAGGGGACCAGAAAAAATTAAACCTCTCAGTGCTGAATCTGTAAAAAAAAAAAAACCCATTGAAATCAGTACAATTTATTAATGTGCCATCTCAGGTCTGCAGATTTAAAAACTGAATTATGACTATTAAATGTGCAGGGAACGTAACAGTTGGTGTATAGCAAATAAATATTGCCATAAGTACCCACTGAAGAACAGATGCTGGCAAATGTGCTTCAAAAAGAATATATACTTTCTAAATAGGGATGCTATCCAGAAAATGTACAGCTAATGTCTATACATGTGCCCCATAGATTCACAACAGGGATATGGTTATGTCTACAGTTAGTACAGTTAGTGTATTTACTTTTTCTAGAGTGTTTATGTTCTCCTTTTCATCAAATTTAATGCCATCCTAATAGCAAGTTTAAAAAGTGCTTGTAAATAGGCTGGAAAGCATCCACTAGCAGAGCTCCCTGGAGACATCTCCTTCTGCACCACAGCACCGTTTCCCCAATATCCGCAAAAGCAGATGGCAGCTCTGTGAGTCATTATTGAATCCAGAAGTAACTTAGCAAATATGCCAAGTATAAGCAGGTGTTTTCACCAAGTGCTGACACATTGATCTGTTGTTAGCTGTGGCAGTAGGGCTAGTGAGGTTTGCTACAGCAAAGCATAATCTACCAACCGTATCAGGAGAAGCCTGTCTTAGACCAAGGTTCTGACTTCCACCAAGCATCAGCTACTACTGTCTTAGGGCTCATTCATACAGGTAATTAACCCTGTCCTCCATGCAGAGCCACTGGCAGATGCATGTGCATCTACCTCAGGCAGCCCACAGAAGTGGATGCAGATGCAGCGGCCACATGGACACAACTAATTTGTGTTTCAAAATCTAACTTGCAGGTACATGCTGGTGTATGTTTGGGCAGTTGATGTTCCAAGTGACTGTAAGCCCACCAGGTTCTTCTGGGCTATGCTAGGCATGGTGTTACGCATGGACGGGGTCACTTACCCTACACATGGGGTATCTTTGCTATGTCTTGCTGATCAATGCCCTGGGACACGGCAGGGATCACTTTCAGGGAAAGCTAACCTTAAGGTGGTCCTCCAACCTAACACTGGGTACACTTTGAGTAAAGTAACTGTACTCCAGGTTATTCTCTGGTGCCGTGTCAATGCACACCTCGACTGTAACCATTTGCATTTAGGAAGGACAATACTGAACCTATGCCCACTCCACCCGTCCAGCATATCTCTGTCTCCTCACTCCAAGCGAGGACCTCATGCGTGCATTTTGTTTTCTTACTCTCCTGTACCTGGTGCCTAGGCTGAGGGCCTCTGTGATGCTGATCTTCTCCTTTTGCTGTGGGAGACAGACATCCTGGGGAAGGGAGTCCCAGAGGCAACCCCCCTCACTATCAGAGTATAGGTAGCATGCCTCATGACAGGCTGCTTGTTCTGGTTACTAGACTTTCAATACCCTTGGCAACTACTTGCTTTACCTCTGTACCCTGCTAAGTCTTGCAACACTGTCTTCATACATCAATATGCCTCAGAACAGGAACAGCGGCAAAAGACATTAACCCCTTTCCCCCAACAAGGGCAACCATAATTAAATAATTACAGTAGGCAATCTACCTGCTCATGGATCTAAACACACAGTGCCTGCATTCAGATCTGTGCACCCGCTTCTGTCCGCATGTCAAACATTGTGTGTGCATCCACTTCTATGGTCTTCTTTCACGCAGCTCCAAGGAGGATGCCTGCTTGAATGAGCCTTTAATGCTGTGTGATTTTCTGTTGGAAAAGCCTATAGGTTGCACTCCTATATGATTAACAATCAGGAGTTTCAAAATGAGCAGGAAGAGGATAAAAGGCAGCTTGCCCACAATCTTCATTGTATGGCTGAAAGGCAACTGCATGGTAAATCTTCAAGATCCACTCACTTCTGCAACTTGCTCCCAGCACATGTGCAGCTTCAGCTTCCCAAACTGCTGACAGCTTTTTCCATGTCAGTGAATGGGGTCCTGTCTACACATGCACTGGATTTGAGGTGCAGGAGAGAGGAAATTTGAAAAGATTGCTGTGCAGCATAAGCACGTCACTAATAAAACATTGCTAGAGAGTTGCATTTTAAGGGCCTATGCCAACAGGCTTCACTAGGCAAATACAACGTGCATTTAACATCTGTTTAAGATGCTTATGAGATCATTCAGAATTAATTGCAGATGCAATGTCCTCCATTTGAATGAACACAGTTGCTTTTGCATTTCTCATAGATTTGTATGGCAAGAAACAAAGAAAAGTAGTCAAAAACCCATCGACATTAATCCTAAAACTAGCCATACATTTTTCAAACAGTTGATTTCCCCATCTATGCTAAACATTCATAGATGGAAGAATCTCCCCTGCTGTCTATTGTATTCAACAGCCAGCAAAACCTGTGGCTGTCTGAATACCTGAACAGTGACTGCATCTGATTGGAATACAAATGTAAATTGAAGCGGCACACCACTGCTAAAAGGTCCAAATCAGGGGTGGACTGACCATTTGGAAACTAGGCACTGCCCGAGGGCCCGGGGTCAGTAGAGGGCCCCATGAGATGCCCCTGGTACCTTTTTTCATAGGCTTTTTTGAGTTTGGGCAAGGACACAGGGGCCCCATGATCCCCTATTGCCTGGGGGCCCCATGAGTTGTCAGTCCGCCCCTGGTCCAAATATGACTTTATTCCAATAAAAGTCACAAGGGCAATCAAAGAGTAGCCAGTGGTTTTAGGGGGGCTCAAAGCCATCTACTTAATCAGATCTTGAGACTGAAAACAATATTAATGGGCTAGAAGTGCACTGGACCTGTAACAGTATTTCTTCCAGTGTGATTACGAGCGCAGATCTTGCCAGCAGCTAGTTTGGCTTCTTCCAGTTCTAGTCCAATAGTTTTCAATATCAAGCCATAATAAAAGAGATGATTTTGGACACCTGAAACGCATTGGATCCTTTTTTAATTGTCCCCCTTACTTTTATTGAAATATATTGAAGTATATTGATTGTGGAGATCCTCTGAGGTATAGAAGCTGCCTGCCCAGGAACCAGATGTCATGGCCAGGGGTCAGACTCTGAGACCAGTAGCTTTAGCAGTAGAGAAGCTACCACTAACCAGCTGAAAAGTGCATCAGCAAGTCACCCTGGTGGATGACATGGGCTCACCCGAGGTGCAGGGTCTAAGCACTAAGTGTTCAGGCTCTGAGGAAGAGGCCAAGTCCTTGAAACGCGTCAGCCTTTATATGTTTGATCATTTTTGTACACTTTGGTGATTTGTGGACTGTTTTTGCTGTACTCATGAGATGTATTTGCACCTTTTATGACTTTTGTGAGTACAACACTTACCTTTTTACATTAAATTTATGATTTTAAAGGATAATGCACTAGGCCGGTGTGCCCTCTGTTTGTTTATCATTACTAAGTGTCATTCACCAGAGCTCCTGATGGTGGAGATGAGTTTTGCTGTATGTTACTACCTGGCCACAGGCCTCAGGATTCAGTTGTAGATATTTCAGGCAGGGATCAATCAGAAGCGTAGTCAGTAAACAAAACAAAGGTCGGTAACACGTGGTTGCAGGTTGGGATCAAGCAGAAGCATAGTTGAGGAACAAGCCAAAGGTCGGTAACGAGTCATAGAAGAGCTATGGACAGATGTAGGTATGCAAATATCAGCAGGAGAGAGCATAATAACCTGGCAAACAGGAAGCACAGAGACATGGTAGAGTTCAAACTTCACTAGAAACAGGAGACAAGGCAAGATTGTCCTAAGAAGTCAGACAGGGTGCTGTCCAGTATCCCAGGTGGCACAGCAAGAAGAGCTGCTGCCAGATGCAGCAGTGGTTGTGGGTTCAGATCCTCGTCCTGACACTATATCACCTACATCAGCATCAATACCTTAAGATTAGATAGCAATACCAATAAGATAACCTTACAGGTCCAGCACTATTTTTTTTTCTACTTTCCTTGACTATGCATCTGATTGTATGCAGTCACTTGTGGGCCAACAAATTTTGACCTGGCTCCTTTGACAAAAGCAGATTGAAAAAGTTGACCAGGTGGTGCTGACAAGCATATCTACAGCTCAAATAATGGCTAATCAGCCATTATTTGGCCCAGTAGAATTTGGCCCAAATTTGAGCAGTGTATGGCTAGTTTTAGTGTCTTATAATATAGAAAGACTGAGATAGGGTATAGGGCCCTGAGATGACAAGTACACTAAAAGTGATCTGGTACCTCAGCTGTATTAAGGCGAATGATACACTGCTTAAGCAGGACCATAGGAGAAAAGGGAAAGCTCCCTTTGTACTCTAGGAAAAGCACATCTTTCTGATTCAATTCTGCTTAGGGAAGAGTAGACACACACAGAAGCAAATAATTATATTTGTGCACATACACCTGACATTCAGAAGCATATAGATGTTACAAACACTTACTTTCCCACAGAGACTGATGCAGTTTTTGTTTCCTGAAATTGCATTGGGATTACATTGGTTAGCATTTTAGTTACAAATAAAACTGTTTTAATCAGCCAGAGCCATGATATACCATTGCATCCTTATCGAGTTCTATTTCCCAACTGTCCAATGCTGAAAAGTATTTTTAAAGTAACAATAGTGACAGTGTGCTTGCTATCAATAAGGAAACAACAGTTGTCACTTATGAACCAATGAAACCCCACGCTGTAGGGGGTGCCAGGATACAGACTATTATGTTTCAGGTCAGACAAGGGATGTAAAGGAACATGAGTTATGCAGGGGCAGATGGGGAGGAAAAACAGCATCCTGTTTTTATTGATTATAAAGATGGCTGCAGGCAACTCCTTATGCAGTATAAACAAGGGAGTAGCCACTGGAATTTCCACCAAACACGTAAAAAGCTATAGAGAGACCCTTGGCAGGCTCGTAAAGGGTTAAGTTGTTGCTTAAAATGTTATTTTTCTTCTCATTCACTGTAGCAGCAATACTGACAAACCATCCATTGTGCATCAGTACCTTTCACAAGGGCCCCACAGCTACTGACCTCATGAATATGCAGATGAGCTTGGCTTGGTTATTACACTGTTGGTGGGGAAATAGCCCTTGTACGGGCCTCAGCACAACCATCTTTGAAGATCTTCATGGTTCACTCTATAATTGGAGGAGACAGTTCCCCTCCCTTAATCCCAAGTTAGTTTATATTTAAACAAAATGATCATTTAGTGTTTGTGGATTTCTGTAATTTGCATGGGGAAACAATTACTATACGGAAAAGCAGAATTACACGTAATTTCAACACTGCTCTTTTCTGCCTTTCTTTTGAACTAATAAGGAGTCATATAAAGGCCTCAGAAAGATAAAGCGATGGCAGGATTGTACAAAGGACATACAGTTAGACCTTAGAAACACTGAACAATTTCAGGACAGAGCTAACTTGTATGACGTGTAAGAAATGGGATTTCCTTTATGAAGATTCTGTGCCAATTATTTATTTGGTCAGTTTAAGTGTAACTAATTTGTGGTACTGTTTACGTCAACACCCCAAGGCAGGAATATTTTATGAAAGCAGCTAAAAATCTTGTTTCTGGTTGAGGATTTCCTTTATGAAGATTCTTTTAAAATGATTTATTTGGTCTGCTTTTTGGAAAATTATTTAGTTGGTCAGCTTAAGCGTAACTAATTTGTGGTACTGTTTATGCCAACACCTCAAGGCAGGAATATTTTATAAAAGCAGCTAAATATCTTGTTTCTGGTTGAAAGGGAAGTAGTAAAGTCTCCCCTCCCTATTAGATTGTAAGCTCTCAGGAGCAAGACCCTCCTAACCCTCCTGTGTTGAGTTGTATTGTTACTGTACTGTCTCCCTTTACATTGTAAAGCACTGTGCAAACTGTTGGTGCTATATAAATCCTAGATAATAACAATAAAAAGTAATAATAATAAAACTAAGTGTATATTATTGTGATTCCCAACTTCCCTGTCCCTCTTTCATAACAATTATCTAGAATAATACAGATAAATCTACACATACTGTATGTATTTATATAATTTAAACAGAGGTGTCATTTATTTTTCTACATCTCTCAATCTCAATCTGAATTTTTACAGAGCAATGCAAAATTTAATTGAATGAACAGATAGATACCCATGCTTTCCTTAGCACAGGCAACAAACAGATTTGGGTTTATTTGGGCAGGCCTTAAAACTGAACTCCAGGTAAGCAGCTATATACAAAGATGAAATATTTATACGGTATATTGCCAAAAGTATTGGGACACCCATTGGGAATCATTGGATTCAGATGCTCCAATCACCTCCATGGCCTCAGGTGTATAAAATCAAGCAACTAGGCATGCAGACTGCTTCTACAAACATTTTTGAAAGAATGGGTCACTCTCAGGAGCTCAGTGAATTAAAGAGTGGTACCGTGATAGGTTGCCACCTGTGCAATAAGTCTATCTGTGAAATTTCCTTGCTACTAAATATTCCACGGTCAACTGGTATTATAACAAAGGGGAAGCAACTGGGAATAACAACAACTCGTAAAATGACAAAGCAGGGTCAGAGCATGCTGAAGGGCACAGTGCACACAAGTCGCCAAGTGTCTGCAGAGTCAATAGCTAAAGACTTCCAAACTTCATGTGGCCTTCAGATTAGCACAACAACAGCGTGTAGAGAACTTAATGGAATAGGTTTCCATGGCTGAGCAGCTGCATCCATTTCATGCCTTACATCACCAAGTACAGTGAAAAAGTGTTGGATGCCGTGGTGTAAAGCCACTGGACTCTAGAGCAGTGGAGACGTGTTCTCTGGAGTGACAAATCATGCTTCTCTGCCTGGCAATCTGATGGATGTGTCTGGGTTTGGCGGTTGCCAGGAGAACTGTACTTGCCTGACTGCATTGTGCCACATGTAAAGCTTGGTGGGGGGTGTTATGGTGTGGGGTTGTTTTTCAGGGATTGAAATTGGCCCCTTAGCTCCAGTGAAGGGAACTCTTAAGGCGTCAGCATACCAAGACATTTTGGATAATTTCATGCTCCCAACTTTGTGGAAACAGTTTGGGGATGGCCCCTTCCTTTTCTAACATGACTGTGCACCAGTGCACAAAGCAAGGACCATAAAGACATGGATGAACAAGTTTGGGGTGGAGGAACTTGACTGGCCTGGACAGAGCCCTGACCTAAACCCAATAGAACACCTTTGGGATGAATTAGAGTGGAGACTGCGAGCCAGGCCTTCTTGTCCGACATCAGTGCCTGACCTCACAAATGCGCTTCTGGAAGAATGGTCAAACATTCCCATAGACACACTCCTAAACCTTGTGGACAGCCTTCCCAGAAGAGTTGAAGCTGTTATAGCTGTAAAGGGTGGGCCAACTCAATATTGAACCCTACGGACTAAGACTGGGATGCCATTAAAGTTCATGTGCTTGTAAAGGCAGGCATCCCAGTACTTTTGGTAATATAATGCATATATGGGGACACTTTTACTGCCATTGGATTTGTTATTCTGTCCATCCAGAGATTTACACATCACAAACAGATAGCACAGTCAGAGGGATGACACAGCTTACAGTAAGAAATACAGTGCTCTCCTATCTCCTCCCTCAGCCCACTGATTGGACAATGAAGGGACAGCAACAGGTTGACAAAGTCATCCTTCTGTATAAGCTGGATATGG